TCCATCATAAAATGTAAACATGCGATGTTTGCACCCTCAGCACCTCGGAGTCTCATCAGCTACCGAGATGTGCATATTAATGGTTATCACCTCTAAACCGCTATTTTAAATAGAAAAGAGGTTTTGGTTCTTGTGAAGAACCATAAAGTTATTGAAAAAGCTTTTGCTATAGAAAATAGTTTATACTGAATTGTAATTTGGCCTCCCATTATATTTAATTTTACATCATCTATCTCAGAGAGTCGTATTTCTCTCTAGCATGGACGATTGGGACATCCAGGATCCACATAATTTAGAAAGATCATTCTATGTATAATTGGATACAATTTAAAGCCTGCAGATATAGATTCTATGGAATTATGTCGTACATGCGTGTAAGGTAAAATGATTACTTGGCCTTCATTTTGGAAACTTCCATAAGAATTACCACCAATACTTGAAAGATTACATGGTGATATTTGTGGTCCTATTAATCCAATATCAGGACCATTTCATCATTTTTTGGTCCTTGTAATGCATGAGGTAAACAATCACATGTTTCATTATTATCAATCCAAAACATGGTGTTTGCCAATCTTATATCTATGCTTATTCACTTTTGGACATATTTTCTTGATTATCCTATAAAAACATTGCGTATGAATAATTCAAAAGAATTCGCATCAAAGTCTTTTGAAGACTATTGTACTATAATAGAAATCAAATTGATATATTGTGTTCCATATGAACATACTCAAAATAGACTTGTAGAGTCATTTATAAAGCATATACAACTCATTACTTGGCCACTCTTCCTTCATGCAAATCTACCTGCATCTATGTGAGGTTATGCAGTTTTACATGCTGCAGCATTAATACGCCTCCGCTCTTCTTCTCTTAAAATTGTTTCATTACATGAGCTTATTTCGGGTCGTGTTCCAAATGTATCTCACTTACGAGTATTTGGTTGCCGTGCTTGGATTCTAGTACCAGAACCTCAACAGCCTACCATTGGAGCTCATCGACAAGAAGGCATATATGTTGGTTTTGATTCACCAAGCATTATTCGTATTGTTGATCTATCAACTGGCACATTATTACGTGTATGTTTGCAAAATTGCCGTTTTGAATAAATGATATTTCCATCTCTTCAAGGAGGAGTATCCAATCAACAAAGAAATAAAGTACTCATATTTAAAGGACCAGAAACATTTACAATGAATCTCAATCCTAGGACATCTTTGGCAGAAATTGAAGTTGTTAAGATTTTTTATTTAAAACGGATCGCGGATGAAACACCTGATGGCTTCAATGATGCACCTAGAATTACAAGAGTTCCTATTAATGAGGCTCAGAATGCACTTACTCAGATTGCAGTGCCATTGACTACAATACCTCAAGTTATAACAACAACTAAAAGAACTCGTGGACCAGATAAGCAACCACGTAAGAAGAAAGCTATAAAATTAATTAATCTTAATATTATTTCTCAAGAAATTTCCACTCATCTTGCAAGACTACCAATTCATGATGATATATCCATGCATAATGTACCTTCAATTCCTATGAAAAACAATCTTGGAATTGGAAGGAATAAAAACAAGTTGAATAAAGAATTATCTATTTTGTATTGTGCTACAGATGATATTTGGGACAGACCATCTATTATGGTAGATGAATCATATGCATATATGATTATAGAAGCCCTTTCTTACAAGGAAGATGATCCTGAACCTCAAACCATCAAAGAGGCGATGCGTCGCTCAGATTGGTCAAAATAAAAAATTACTATTGAGGAGGAGTATGCCTCTTTGCGTAAGAGAAAAGTCTTTGGTCCAATTGTAGATACTCTTACATCTCGCCATGTGGGATATAAAATGGTATTAATACGCAAGCGAGATGCTAAAGGACAAATAATCCACTATAAAGCTCGTCTTGTTGCTCAAGGATTTACTCAACGATTTGGCATTGATTATGAATCGATGATCTTAACCTAGTGGGTACTACATCTGCATGTATTATAACTACAAATCTACTTATACATGAATTTGAGATGAAAATGCTAGAATAAATAACTTTCTGCATTGGTCTTCAAATAATACATTTAACAGATGGTAGCATTTTTTTCTATCAACTAACGTATATTAGACGAATCTTGTGAAGATTTAATATGATTGATGCTTATCCATTGTCCACACCAATGGTTGGACGTGGTTGTGATGGTCACGATCCATACCGTCCATGCGAGGAGGAGGAAATATTGGGAGACCAATATCCATACCTCGCAGCAGTTGGAGCACTTTTGTATTTAGCTACATCTATAAGACCAGATATTGTATTTGCAGTTAGTGTTCTTGCAAGATATAGTGCACGTCCAATACTACGACATTGAAATGGCATCAAATATTTATTACGTTATTTAAAAGGTACTGAAGACTTGGGATTATACTACACACAATTTGCGGATCCAAAATTAGTTGAATATTGTGATGCAGGATATAAATCTGATATTGCAATAGCTAAATCTCAAACAGGATATGTATTCTTAAGACATAGAGCTACAATATCATGGAAATCAGTGAAACAAATAATAACTGCAACTTCATCCAACCATGCAGAAATTATTACCTTACATGAAGCATCTCGAGAATGTATTTGGTTGCGATCAATTGATAAATTCATTCAAACAACCTGTGGATTTTCATATGATGATTCTCCAACTATCTTGCATGAAGATAATAGTGCTTGTATTGCACAGATGCAAGTTGGTTTCATTAAAGGCAACAAGACAAAGCATATTGATCCAAAGTATTTTAGTTATATCCATGACTTGATTACTAATCAAGCACTTATAATTAAGAAAATTGAATCTACAAATAACCTTGCTGATCTCTTCACCAAAGCTCTTCCATTAAGCAACCATCGTCGACTTACTTATGGCATTGATATGGGGCGACTTACTCTTCTTGAATAAGAAAGTTAATGAGCTCTTTAAATAATTAAAGAAAATGATGTTGTACTCTTTTTCCTTCATCTATGGTTTTGTCCTTAAATAAAATAAGGTTTTCCTAGATAAGGTTTTAATGAGGCAACAATTATTGATCTTGCAAGATCATAGAAAAGTATAGATCATAATTCTATACAAATTTTATATTATGTAAATATTATGATGAGCGAGGAAGAGTGTTGAGATCATTAAATGTAGCCGGTGCTCTCCATAATATTTACTGTAGACTATAGTAAATACCATAGCTATAGTATTTAGTGTCTAGTGGAGAAGTACTGTTTATCCTCTCTTCTTTTCTCTTCTTGTATACGAGACACAACTAGATCAATAGATTTTTGGGTGTGAAGCTCTCTCTCCTTAGAAACCCTCTTGTGTGTATGACTTACTACTTCTCTTGTGTGTGTGTATGACTTACTATTACTCTTGTGTCTTTCTAAACATTCTCAACAGTATGCAGCACTGGAATTAGGTTTTGGCACAAAGCAACAATTACTGAGTCGGAAGACAAGAAACGCTTCACTGTGACAGTCAAGCAAAGGAAACCGCGAAGTTACTAGCCCTACCGACTACCGACTAGGCGAAGGTCATGACGCATAGAAAGCTGCGGGATGCGCTGAGTCTACCACCCTGGTCCAGCAATAGTCCACTGGCGTTCACTCAAACACATACTGTCATAACTTTACCGACCACAATTGGCGCTGACTTTGGTCATCAACAGGCTGGAAACGGTAAGGTCAACGCGCTTGACGTTTTTTGGTGCCGAGGATGGAGGCTAATCGTGCTAGGACTATAAATCATGCAACTATCTTTGGCTCTGGTGCTCGATGACACTGCATTCACAGCGACTTTCACGCGCAGAAATTCGATCGGCGGTTGAGATTGCATCTGAGCCGCAGCTGAGATTCGACTGCCCACGATGGCCGAGCCAGTCGATTGAGCAGTGAGGTTTTTGCGACACAATTCTACGAGGCTGGGCACTAGCTGATTCTTTGGCTCGAATCGGGACACAACGCTCGGCTTGTGGGGGTAGGCAGGAATAGTTGCCGTGGTCTGGTTTGCTAGGCGCGGGGGCGTCCGAGAAGTTGTAGAAGTGTGGCTTTTGAGTTTGATGTGGAAGAGTTACTGCCCTGTGGAGCTGACGAGGTGAGAGAGCGACGGAGAGAAGGCATGGCTGGCTATAAAATAGTTTGTAGTTGACCATACATGGGTATTAGACTGGAAGCACATCGATTTGAGCGGGAGTGGGTTTCAGGTAGGTAATGTGATGTCCATACTTCAAGGATTCCATAGCTCCCTCTAAGAAGAACCTGATCTCAATTCTTTTTACTCTACGTCGTCTCGTTTTCCTCAGCGTTGCCGCGTGGAATGGAAATCGTACCAAGCTCGTTCCCGAGTGGTATAAGAATCTACATATGCTGTTGTATGTGCAGCTGAAGACGGATGTGCGTGGCTCGGCCTCGTTACCATCGGGCTGCGAAGTGATGGTGGATCTGAGGATGGACCTGCGAAGCGGGGGCAGAATGAATCCTCGAACTGCCTACTTGGTCTCACTTTTCCTCGCTGTTGAACTCGCTTGCCTGCGTCGATCTTCAGCTCAATCCGGTTGGTTGAGCATCGACTGTGGCGCACCGAAAGCTTACGTCGACGCCAACGGCGTGTCTTGGGTGCCTGATACAGATTACGTCACGGGCGGAACTAGTGTCAACGTCCTCGTTGACCCTTCTTCCCCGTTTAAACCTTCTCAAGATTTCAAAACCGCTCGCTACTTTTCGGATGTTCCAAGAAAGCGGTATTGCTACAGAATTCCCACGAAGAGAAACCAGCTGTACCTCTTAAAATATAATTTTTTATTTCGGAGGCTTTGGTGGCAAGCCCACTGCTACGTTCAGAGTCAGCTTTGACAACTATATTCAAGATACGCCGGAATTCACTGCAAGTTCTGCCTTCGTTATAGGCGACCTCATGTTTCGACCTTCAGTAGATAATGTGTACGTCTGCCTCTTTCGGACATCCTCAGGAGACGATCCTTTCATTAATTCCCTGCAGTTGCGGCCTTTGGAAGATACAATGTACTCGTTAATGGAAGTCGATACCGTATATCTTTCCCAGGAAAGGGGTAACTATGGTGCCCCAGCTGGTAGCAAACTTCTTCTGAGGTTGGTACTGAACTTCCCACTGTTTTCCTTAATTCTACGTCTTGCTTGAGACTGCCCATTAAAGAGCCTGCTTAAGAATGTCAACGTAGGTTAAAACTGGTCTGGATGCTTTGAATATGGCTTACACAGTATCTGCTCGAAGCTGGATGATGAGATGTGCGTCATTCGTTGATAAGGTACCCAGAGGATCCGTTCGACCGAAACTGGATCAACGCACCCTCAAATCCTGCTCTCAGCTAAAGTAGTGTGCTTGGTTCAGGCTTCGCCGTAAACAAGCCCCCGCCGGCCGTCATGAACACTGCGGCACAAGCTGCAGATGCAATGACCTCGTTTTCGCTGCTTCTACGACCTACTTTCACTAATACTTCGTTTTTCGTCAACCTATATTTCGCCGAATTGAAGGTACATCTTCAATGCTTACTTCTTTTCTTTTATTTCAAACTTTGCTCCGCCTTCATCACCTCTTTGCTCCTTGGTGCCACAAGCCGTTTGCCAGGACGTTGACGTGCCCGATTTCTGACTCTTGTCAACTTTCTGGCAGGTTTTGACAGCAGGGCAGACGAGGGTATTCGACATCTTCATCAATAACGTATTAAAGTTTCCCTTGGTAAATATATTTAGTCTCGCTGAGAATGCATTGTACAAGCCCGTCCAACTCAGCACTAATCTTACACTTACTGCGAACGCTGAAATCAATATAACGATTTCGCCTGTGGACGGAACATCGTTGGGTCCTCTTGTCAACGCTCTTGAGATTCACTCACTCCACAGGATCCAATCTAGAACTCTTGACCGTGACGGTACGCAACATTTCCTCTTATTTAACCGGAGGGATGGAAATCATGGTTTGTTGTGGACGAGGAATACATTCTTGTTAGGTTGGGATTACTAGTTTCTGGTGAATTGTTGCCGAGGATCGGGTCTTGAGGCAATGATTTAATTGTAGGTTTCCTGATTGATTGGCAGTGTGTGTGTGTGTGAGCAGCGTTAGCAATCGAAAACGTGAAGAAATCCTTTGAACTGACAGACTCGTGGACTGGCGACCCATGCTTACTTCTACCATATGACTGGTTGAATTGTACCGCAGCGTTTCCTCCTCGAGTAACTGCTGTGTACGTATCAAAGTTTCACATATTATTTTAACTTCTCAATCATTGAATTTCTGCTTTAATGTACAACGGTTGACCGTGCCCTCATTCAATCTCGCATGCTGATGGCGTCAATTGTCATTCGTTTACAGGATGCTCTCTAATAACAATTTGACCGGCCCTATACCGGCAGGCCTGAAAGATTTGACCGATCTCACCACGTTGTAAGTGCCATATTTGGATCACTTTCGTTTAGATTTTCAGTTTGTTTCTGCTAATCACGCTTTTTCAAGTTTTTGTTTGAACAAGTTTCCATGTATCATATCAATCGTAGGTTCACGTCATAGTTACTAACTTTGGCTTAGCTGGGCGGTGGCAGGCGCTTGTTTAACAATAAGCTCACGGGCTCAATACCCAGCTGGTTGGCATTGCTGCCGAATTTGACAGAGCTGTAAGTGTATTTGATTTCTGCCGCTGCTCTAGCCTTCGTTTGATCCATGGCATGCGGGCTTCTTCATGACAATGAACTGCTCAAACAATGAGGCGCATCAGAGAGTGATGCTGTAGCTTGTTATGCTCATGGTTTGTGGTGTAGGTCTTAGGATTTTGCATGTAGTGTACGTCGCAGAATGGAATTGTTTCTTGTCCTCGAATCCGTCGCTGCCTGTATCAATGAAGGCTTTGTTGACGATCTGCACGTCACATGCCGCAGGGATCTGCGCAACAACGACTTGAGTGGACGTGTGCCGGAGGCTCTTCTTACGAACTCTGCTTTAGCATTCCGGTGACTAGCTCTCACGTTCATCTGGTCGTTTCGGTATACGAAACCAGTCACATGCTTCTCTGGTTTTGTTTTTCTTTCTGGTTTTGTTTTGGTTTTGTTTTTCACGCAATTTTTCATCTGAAGTGCAGCATGCGTTCTTTTTTCAGATTTGAAGGGAATTCTCGTCTTTGCGTGAATGCAACATCATGTCCGGGCGACAAGAGCAATGTGGGGGTTGTAGTTGGAGTCGTAGTGGGAACGGTTGCTGTTGCTATTATTGTAGCGTTAGTTGTGGTCTATTTCTTCTGGTCTGCCAGGAAGAAAAGAGCTCCGCTGGAAAAGATTCCTCTCCAAGGTATTTACCATGTTCACTCGACATCTAGTCAGGAGTTACAATCTCTTAAGGTGTGCTTTCATCGGATGCGTTACAAGCATTGCCGTTACTAATCTACTGCTTTTGTTAAGGTGGGGAAAATCCACGAGGATCCAAATTTACGTATGCACAAGTTATGTTTGCTACGAAAAACAATCACAAAATGTTGGGGAAAGGAGGCTTCGGTCCTGTGTACTACGGTAAGTTGCAAGATGGACAGGAGGTCGCCGTGAAAGTTTCCAGCAAAGTGTCCGCACAAGGATCTAGAGAATTCATCAATGAGGTACTATATATGCCCTGGCGTGACGCGGTTTTTTTTATTCGGCCGTCACTGTACAGAATCTCGAGTTGAGTTGAAAATCTGTCAGTCCAGTAAGGGATCCGACACAATGCTTGCTTCTGGACAGATTGATCTTCTCACGAAGGTGCATCACAAGAACCTTGTGACTCTGGTGGGCTATTGCAACGATGGGAACAATCTGATGTTGATGTACGAGTATATGCCGTTGGGTAGCTTACAAGATCATCTGTATGGTACGTTGTGTTGTTTTCTGCGTGACGTGGAGCATTTTGAATTCCAGCAAAGTTTAAGTTGATGTTTCATCTGCAGAGCGTATTGTACTGGAACGTTCATTGAATGACCAAAGCTTGATCTATTTTAGGATCGATCAAGAAAGAGAAGAAATTATTTTTGGATTGGCCAACTCGGATACACATAGCACTTCAGGCCGCGCAAGGTTAGTGCGGTTATGCCATTGCAAGCGACACAGTCCAATTGGTTTGTTTTAGTTTCAGCCTCGTGGATAGTACTTGTTGTACGTGTGTGAAACCTGGGTGCATTGTTGTGTTGAATTCAGGATTAGAGTATCTACACAGGGGGTGTAGTCCAGCAATATTTCACCGTGATGTTAAGAGCAACAACATTCTGCTGGGCCACAAGATGGTAGCAAAGGTTGCCGATTTCGGGCTCTCTAAATCGACGAATTCGAACGAGGCCGTGTCCCACGTCTCTACCATGGTCAAGGGTACCATGGGTTATCTGGATCCCGAGTAAGTGCCGATGAAAGCTCACCCACTCTGCTGTGAAGAAAATTCGCTAAATCGGAATGAGTCGCATTACGTGGTGCTAGTTTGATACATATAATTGGTACTTTTTCGACTTTTGCCAGTTTCGGAACCTGAGTTTGTTTGCTGTCTGTTTCAGTTATTTCAACACGAACCAGCTCACAGAGAAGAGCGACGTATATAGTTTTGGCATTGTTTTATTGGAGCTGATTTGTGGACGAGCTCCTCTCGTACCTGATCTTCCCGAGCAAGAACGCCGACTGGATCAATGGGTAACGTCTGAATAAAACCTTGCTGTAGAATTCTTCATGAATGGCATTGATGACTTCAATAATGTGATGTTCTGTTCAAAGAGTACTGCTAGGCACTAACAGTGGCAGGTGCGTCTATGCGATGGATGTCTTGCTTCAGGCTCGGCCTTACTTGTCAAACGAGAACATTCAAATGATCGTGGATCCATCCTTTGGTGACAAGTACCACTTGGAAAGCGTGTGGAGAGTGGCGGAATTGGCCATGCAAAGCGTTGAGCCTCGAGGAATTCATCGCCCGAAGATGAGAGAAGTTGTCCAAGAGCTTCGTGAGACATATGCGATGGTGGAGGGCGCCCACCTCGTGGACGCTCATCAAAGGCCTTGGTGGAATAACGAAAACCTCGATTCCCCTGATTTCTATTCTGACGCCCATGCGCAATCGAGCACGGGAAGCTCCAACGCACTACACAGTGGCGAGAATTTCAGACTGATTTCTCGGTAACCCCATCCAAATATGTAAGCTTCTTCAGAAGCTTGCGTGATCTTGCATCACTCATCTGCGGTAACGGTGAGACTGGTTGCATTTAACGGGGCGCCTTGTGCAAATGAACAATGTCATCCTCCTGTGGCTGTACTCCGCATTGTCACTTTGCAGGTTCGACCCGAAAGCTGGAGTTGCAGACTGTACAAAAAGAATTGTTCGTCTGATGACGTATGAGCCAGAATGATCATGATCAAAGTCACCAGTTGGCTGAGGCTTTCTTTACCACGGGATTGTTGCAGTTATTATGCTGATACAGTTCGCAGGCTGCTTATCCTTTCATCATATGTAGGAGTATAGCATTCTCTGCCTCCTCCTTGTAGTTTATGTACCTTGGCCCTACATTTACCAGGAGATTGCCTCAAAATATATGATTAAATTTTCTTTCTCTCAATATATTCTTTAATAGCTAGTCATTATGCGCAGATTATGACAACATCGCAGTAGAATCGGAAGCAGGTCCAGGTTCTGGTGCTGAAAAGCATCCTCCAGTTGTCGTGATTGCAGCGGCAACTATCAAAAACTGGAGTAGAAATAACGTTTGTCCCTCTCTTTTTCAACGGATCCTCCTCAATTAGTGTGCACTTTGCTGACCTGGACATGTCACTGTTCTCCGTTTCAAACCACCGGATGCTCCTTGTAACTATTAGGGCTCCATATCCACATTATCGAGACCAGTTAGGGGTGCACACAAAAAACGTCGACACAGCACCTTGAGAGATGTTTATCAACCCAATCTGGTATGTACATGATGGGATTGTGTCGACAGACACACACGAATTTGCCTCTGATGGTGGCTGCCTCTTTATAGCTTTGCAGGTTTCCTTAACGGCCCAGACAATAAAAATATGACCTGCTGTTGAATGAGCAACGATGGTTGTCAGTGTTGAATGTTTAAATCTTCGCTAACTGTGCACCATACATTTCTGTCGGAAAAGCTGCCTTCCAGTGTCAAAATAGCGGTGGAGGCCTCCATCTCGGTCATATTTACTCTGTGCCCATCAACAGTACTTGACCCTCTGATTAATCCGGCGGTGCTTCTCTTTTTTCTTACCTTTTTAAAAGTTATTTTTTGTAGGTTCCAGGGGTTTCTGTTAGTTTGGGATAACTGTATACATGGATTAACCGAGTGATCAGAAACAAGCGTCTGGGGTCTGCTTGCCTCACTAGTTGGGCAGAAACGGTCTTTATGGCACAAAGATAGTAGTACACATCAGTACACATTGTACAGTAACCCAAACCTCATATTTCGTCTCACGTATTAACTATTACATTGATGTGAGGAAGGTTTGCGTTACAAATAGGGAGCGAGGGTTGAACACTCCCAGACTGGGTCCCTCCCCTTCTCCATTCATGGACGTAGGGAAACCCTAATTTTGTTTTGACGCACTTGGCTGTGATTGCATCTGTGCACATAAATTTAGAACCTAGAGTTGAGAAAGTTTTGACACTATATTTACCTTATTTTCATCTTTAGATTTTTTTTTTATTAGATGCTAAGAGAATTAAACTATTCCTAGAATTTACAAGTTTAACATTAAGCAATGTTCTTTTTACATCTTTGCTAAAAATATTTTTTCTTTTTCTTAATTATTAAAGATATATTAAAAAGGGTTAATGTATGAGTTATTATTTAAAAGTAAGTCTTCCAATTACAAGAAGAATATTTTACAAGATTTTTTGTTTGTTTGTTTGTTTTGTGCTTGGTTTAAAGTAAGCTTTTGATATTATCAAAAGAAAAGTTTCATAATTTGATCATTGATATTATAAAGATAAAAAGATAGATGACAAAAAACTCATATATGATAAAAGTTTTACCTATCCATTAGACAAAGAATAAGGAGATTAAGATTGGTAGAATTTTTTGCTTAGATTTGCACATTAATAATTGGAGAAAATTTAATTTACATAGTGATTAATTTAAACCATGATAAGGTTGAGCAAATAAAATAAGAAAATAGAATTAAATAGATAGATTAAAGAGTATTTGAGAAAGTAAAATAAAATATTCTTATCAAGATAGATTTAAAAGTTATAACAAAATAAGAAGCTATATATATCTATAATAGGCAAGATATATAATGCCTATTATAGATATATAATACCTATTATAGATATATATAATGCCTATAATAGATATATATAGCTATAATAGGCATTATTATATCTATAATAGATATATATATTGCCTATAATAATGCAATATATCTATTTCATTATATTCAAGATATATAATGCCTATATATAGATATATATTGAAATAGATATAATGTCTATATATAGATATATAAATATGCCTATATATAAATATGCCTATATATAAATATGCCTATATATAGGCATATTTATATATCTATATATATATTTATATATCTATATATATGCCTATATATCTATATATGCCTATATATCTATATATGCCTATATATCTATATATGCCTATATAGATATATAAATATGCCTATATATAAATATATCTATATATAGGCATTATCATATCTATATATAGGCATATAATGAAATAGATATAATGCCAATATATATTGCATTATATATCTATATATAGGCATTATATCTATTTCATTATATATAGATATATAATGCAATATCATATCTTGCATATCTTGAATATAATGAAATAGATATAATGCCTATATATAGATATATATATTGCCTATAATAATGCAATATATCTATTTCAGAAATAAATAATAGATTTAAAAGTTGTTACTTTAAATATGGTACAACTTATTATTTTGTTTCTAAATAGATTTGATATGTAAATATATATGTAAATATATATGTATATATATATATATATATATATATATATATATAATTTAATTATCATAGAGATATATTTATTATAATAAATAGGTAGAAATAGATAAAAATAGATTAATTTCATAATATCTTCTAAGAAAACTTTATAAACATTGCTTTGATTGTATATGTGTTTATAGTTGATTAATAGGTTAGAAACTTGATTAACAAATTAATCACATGTTACATATATTGGTAGCTTGTAGGACAAGCTAACTATGTAGTGTCCATATAGAAAACTTGCCTTGTAAGTGAAGATATGTATTGTGTAAAGTCAATATATTTTGGAAGTGTCATAGAATGTTGCTACATACCTCCTACATAGATAGGTGTCAAGGATAAGAACTCGATGAAAAAGCAATTTAGACAAGTGAGCCTTCATTCAAAGAAAGGTAACAAAATATAAATAAACAAGTATATATATTGAAAGAGAAATTGGAATGGCTATTGCCAAAAGACAAGAAAACTAGAGACCTTTGAAACTAGACTGGAAGTAAGAAAGGAGTTGACAAGAGTGAAGAAGGCTTCACTCTTGTCTCTATATATACTATCTAACTAGGGGCTACGTGGTGATATTCTATAGGACCTCCAATATGTGTTGACTTTGTAGGACACATGCCTTGACTTACAAGATAAGTTTTTCTACGTGTGGGCCACATAGTTAGCTTGATCTTCAAGCTAACAACATGTGTGGCACATGGCCAACTTGTTGACCACGTTTCTAATCCAAAAAGTCAATTAAAGACACCTATGAAGTCAAAAAAACATCTATGAAGCTTCTAGGAAGCTTCTATATTAAATACTATAGAATTAACTTACTTTTACTTATTTTTACTTACTTCCACCTATTTGTATATGTAATTACTAGCTTACATGAGTATGTCGGTGACATTACCCCCCCTTCTAGGAACGAGTTCCACGAGGAGCAGTCATCATATGTTGAGGAAATCTATGATGCGACGAATTATATTTGCCACATACTCTGATCTTTGTTCTCTTCGAAGATGATTGATAGGGCCTCTCAACCATCGGTAGTGTCCCATACTAAGGCGGGAAGACCACCCATTTATTTGATCATTGTTGAGGCCTTCATAACTTCCTTTGAATAGAACATTTGGAATACCATCAGGAGTTGTTCCTACCTCTAGCAAAATCATCAAACATCGGGAGTTCCTTCCCAAATCGTGATACCAAATGCGTTGTATCTTGCCATCTATTCGAGGAAAAATATGTCATTTTTGAAGATCTTCATCTTGATTGTGTCGTCTTGAAGGTTGTGACAATCATAATGTCTCATCCGGTAGGTCAGCAAATGAAGGCTCTTGAGTCGAATCTGCTGGTTGTTGGTTCTCCATCTTCTGAGCATCACAACTACAAAGAAGCTACATACAAGGATTGAAAGTAGAATGTTATCTTGCCTGGATGTTGTTTCTTTTATAAAAAAGGTTTTCATCTTAATTTTGATAGATGTCGTCGATGAAAAGCCTCCACCGCCTTTGTTCCATTTACAAGATTCTTTATTGGCTCCCATGTACGTTCATTAATATCATATCTATGCCAATGGACAAGATATTCTAATTTATTTCGGCATCGCCTTGAATCTAAGACTTCTTCTACTTCAAACTCTTCATTATTATCTACTTCTATAGGAGGAGGTGGAGCTTGTCATCTTCTTAGTATGTCCACTGTCTTGTATGGTTCATGAAGAGACACGTGGAATACTGGATGGATTTTCATTGACTTCGATAGATGTAAACGATATACAACTGGATTGATTTGTGCAGAAATAAAAAATGGTCCCAGCCTTTGATAGTCCAACTTGTTACAAGAACGAGTGGTCTTGATATTACGACAAAGTAGCCATACCTTATCACCGAAGAGGAATGGTGGTTGTTCCTTTCGATAGACATCCGCATTGACCTTTTGTTGTTCTTGAGCTTCTTTTAACTGCACCTTCATCGTTGCATATAGCTCTGATAAATGAATTGCCAAATCTTTCGCAACAGGATTATCAACTTTTGAAAAGTCAAAAATATCAAGTCATGGATGATAACCATAATTAGCAAAGAAAGGTGTTTATTTTGTAGAAAAATATACCGTATTATTGTAAGCAAACTCTGCCAATGGCAAAAGAGTTGTCCAATCATCTTGTTGGTAATTAATGGTACATCTTAAATATTGCTCCAAAACTTGATTAACACGCTCAGTTTGTCCATCAGTTTGAGGATGGAATGGCAAAGATAGTTTTATATCCACTTTTAGAATCTTGAAAAGAGTCTGCCAAAAACTTGATACAAATTGAATTCCCCTATCTGATATAATATCCTTGGGTAATCCATGATAGCCATAGATATTATCAAGAAAGAGCTTAGTTGTTTCTTCACCTGTGATAGATTTTGTACATGGTACAAAATGTGCCATTTTGGTAAAACAATCTACTATCACGAATATAGAGTCATAAGAACCTGAGATTGAAAGATCCATGATGAAGTCCATAGAAACAGAAGACCATGGTTGTTCTAGAATGGATAATGGCTGAAAAAGTCCAAAAGGTCAATGACAAGGAGTTTTTGATCTTGAGCAAACATCAGATGATTGTACAAAATCTTTGACTGCCTTCTATATTTGAGGCCACTAAAAATCTCTAGATATCAGCTCCAAAGTCTTGTTATATCCAAAATGTCCTGCTACTGGGAAATCGTGACAAGCTTGAAAAATATGTAAACGTGCTTCTCTTTCTGGAACATATAGGCATCCTTCGAAATAGAGTAGATTGTTCTTGAATTCAAATTTAGAGGAATCATGAGATTTAGAAGAATTATTCTTGATATCATGAACAAGAGGGTTTGAAGACATACTTAACTAAGCTTGCTTAAGAAAAGTTAAATCAACAGTCAATGTTGATTTTATTGCTCGAAGATGAAATTGCTCCGGCTTCAAGAAAACCATTCTTTGTTGCTCAAAAGCTACATCTCCTTCTTTTGGTGTAAGATAAAAACGTCTAGACAAGGCATCGGACAAAACTTGTTGTTTTCCTAGCCGATAAGTGATGATGAACTCAAATCTTGATAAAGACATGCTCCAACAAGCTTGACGACGATTTAATACACGTGTTGACATAAAATACTTGAGGTTCTTGTGATCCGTATACATGGTGATTGGACTAGAAGCACCTTCTAGATAATGATGCCATTCTTGAAAAGAATCCACAATTACAAGAAGTTCTTTGTCGTGGATCTCATAATTGATTTCTACTGCTGAGAATTTTCTTGAATGAAAGGCTACTAAATGAAGTTTATCATCTGTTCCTATTTGTGATAAAACCACATCTAGAGCAAAGTCTGATGCATGTGTTTCCATAAAGAATGCTTTGGAAAAATCAACACGATACAAGATTGGTGCAGAAACAAATGTTGT